CCCCCCCCCCAGGCCAACTCCACTAGGCCACTTTCTCTTGTGCTCACACGGGTGCTGGCTTTAGACAGAATTTGATCAAGGCTCCTCATGAATGGCTTTTTTTATTGTATTACTATTTGCCAACCTGATGGTGAATGCCTTTAATACTAGCACTCTGGAGGCAGAGGCAAGAGGACTTTGGTGAGTTTGAGGCCAGCCTGGTCTACATAGTGAGTTCCAGGCCAACTTGGTCTACATAGTAAGACCCTGTCTGAAATTTTTTTTTATCAAAAACATTCATTCTATTATTGTTTTTATTGTCATGGTGCTGAGTACTGAGCCCATAGACTCGTCCTAGATAACTTCACTTAGCCCCCTATGAGTCATAAGGAATTTGTCAGTTTGATCGAATGAATTTTTGTGTTTTGCAGAACTAGAGTTCAAAACCAGGGCCCCATCCATACTAAAACAACCACTGAGCCACACTCCCAGCCCTTAAATGGCATTTTTAATTGTTACATAGTATCCCATTGAGGTTTGTTTTTGTTTTTGGGATAGGATCTCACTATGTAGAACAAGCTGGCCTTGAACTCTTCGGGATCTGCCTTCTTCTACCTTCTACCTCCCAAGTGCTAGAATTAAAAGCACGAGCCACCACACCCAGCTTTGCCACTGACAAAGGAAAGTCATGGGACACGTTTATTGACATAGGAAAGCATTAAAACAAAGAGAGAGAAAATTATTAGACTTCGGGGTAGCATGAGGAAGGAACATCAGTTACCTTGTGCAGAAGACCCTCGGCACCGTCCTCAGTATAGCCAAACAAAATCGAACAAAAAATGAGGAATTAAAAAAGAAAAATCACCAGGCAGTGGTGGCACATGCCTTTAATCCCAGCACTTGGACAGCCAGGGCTACACAGAGAAACCTGGTCTTAAAAAAAAAAAAAAAATCAAACCTCCTTGGCGTCAACAATACAAAAATCACAGTACAGGAATTTATGTGAACACAAAGTCAAGTGATTGAGGGACTATGAGTGTACTCGGTTGGTGTAGTGCTTGCCTCCCATCCATGAGGCTCTGGGTTCGAGTCCCAGCACCACCAAAGAAAAATGCCTTAAGTATGGCACACAAGACCAGGATGAGCTCTAGTTAAAACAGTTGAACCCAAAACTCCACAAAGCTTTTCTGTTTGGACTATGAGCTTGGATGGACTGAGCCGGGAACAGGGAGGCCAGAGATAAAGCTAAGAACTATGTAGGACTATGGAAGACATCAGAGCCTCCATAAACACAATGGTCCATACACTGTCAGTCCCCTCTGGATAAATGAGGAAAGGTCATGACATTCTCCCACAGAGAGAGCTGCCAGAAGAATTGCCCTGTAGGAATGGAAAGTTCCAGAGTTACAGTTTTAGTCACTGGAAACTCCACATCAGATTCCTAGCCAGCAGGAAGTGATTTAAGCAGGTCCAGAGTTCCCTTTCAACTGTTCACAAGGGACAAAGAGGAACGTGTGACGTCATATCAAAGCTAGCCCAGCAAGGACACTGGTGTTAGCGGGGCTCCGTCAGAGTACCAACCAGAACTTTGAGCCTCTGTGAGTTTCGATTTCCTCCCAGGAGAAACAGGAAATGAGCTCTGAAAAGGGACAGTTTAGCTCCCTGAAGCAGTCTCTTTTTTTTTTGTTTGTTTGTTTTGTTTTTTGTTTTTCGAGACAGGGTTTCTCTGTGTAGCCCTGGCTGTCCTGGAACTCACTCTGTAGACCAGGCTAGCCTCGAACTCAGAAATCCGCCTGCCTCTGCCTCCAAAGTGCTAGGATTAAAGGCGTGTGCCACCACAGCCTGGCGAAGCTGTCTCTTAAGGTATTGGTCCATTAGCACTGCACTCCGGGGTGGGACAGCAGTGATGGAGGGAGGGACGACTCAGTCACTGCCAATCTGATCATTATGAAAGAGAGAAGAATCAAAGTCCTCCTGAGTAGACTCAAGGAAACCACTGGCTGCTTTCAGGCAGCCAATCTTCCAGACTTTCCCACGTGTGTGAATGCTACTCTTCAGATCCCGTGTCCCACAAAAGGCCCTATTCTAAAGGCTTGGTCCCAGCTTGGTACCTGGAGTGGTGGAAGGTTTAAGAGATGAGACGGGGGTGGGGGGGTGGGGGGGGAGGTCTTCGGAGTACTCAGAGATGTGGTCTCAGTGGGGCTATGGGAGTCCAGTGCCTTCCATAAAGAGGCTTTGCCTGGTCATGAGCTCCGTGACCAGGTCTCCATGACAAGGTCTCCGTGAGACATTGCCACAGGCACAAAGCAGAATCAAGAGACTAGAAGCTAAATCTCTCCAACTGTGCTTTCCTCTTGCTAAGGTGATTGATTCCCTGAGAGTGACTGTCACAGTGCCTGAGAGCTGACAGACACAGCATATGAGCAGCCCATGTTCAAATTCTCCCAGGCGCTTCCTTGCTGTGAATTCAGCAAAAGCCTAGACCTCTCCCAGAGCCTCAGTTTCTTCATGGACCTCATTCATGGGTGGCTATATGGCCTAGATGAACTCTATCCACTGGGAGACCTGAGAGAGCACTTGGCAATGTGTTGTATCCACAGAGAAACCAGTTTCATGTTGATTCCCGAATCCTGGGGAAAGCCTACCCATCTTTATAGTCCTCCAGAACAGGGGCAGCCCACCCTCCTGAAATGACCTCCTCAGGGTTATATGCCCCTCTCCTGACTGGCCAAACTCTTCCAATAGGGCAAGGAAAACCACTATATTCCTTCAGCCTCTTACAGATGAATGGCTCAGAGACACAGTCATTGGCCTGAAGTCATACAGTCAGGCCCTGCACAATGGCTGGAATGCACTGGTAAGCAAGAAGGAGAGTGGTCCAGCTTAGGGGCTCCTGCAGGGGTCCCTGTGCACACTCCCAGGTAGATGAAACATCTTACACAGGCTCAGACAGATACTACAAGTCTTTTCCCTGGGAGCAAATGAGCACAGCTATAACCACAGAGAAACAATCAAAGGCAGAAGTCTACCAACTGATCCAAAGGAGTATTTATGGTTGTGGGTTTTTAAAATCGCTTCAGATCTTCCCACACTCCACACAGTCTCTCCCAGGACCTCAGCACAAGATCGCCTTTTCTAGACTAGCTCAGCAGCCAAGACTCTGGAGTAGAGGGACAACCATCCATGTTCTCCTTCCTTTGGGGAAAACCAGAGTCCTGAGACCAGCTGGCAGCTGCATAGGGAGGGGCCAGCCTTGGGGCAGCCTCTGGGCTGAGAATATACGCAGCAGGGGGGGGGCCCCCCCGCAGAGGAGGATAGGAGAGTAAAGAAGAGAAACGGGAGGGTGGAAGAGAGGCATGGGGGGGACGGACGGAAGGAAAATGATTCAGAACTCACATCCACTACAACATGGATGATTCCTTAAGACTTGATAGATGATGAAGCCATTCTTAAAGAGTGGCACATTCAGGATGGTCCCACTCACATAAAATGCTACAACAGAAAACACCTAGAGCAGAGAGGACAAGGGTAGTGGGATGTATGCTGTGCGCCCGCATTCATTCGTGCGTGCGCGTGTGCATGTGTGTGTATTGGCCTTTAAGGGATACATGGTTCCATTTTGGAGTACTAAAAATAAAATCACATGAACTAAGGGCACTGAGGTGCTCTTTAAATGTGTGGATTTTGTGATGGTTGAAAATGGGTTTGCTCATTTGCTGTTTATTTGTTTATCATTTGCATGCTTGCTTGGTTCTTGGCTTTTTGAGACAGACCCTCAAGTAGCCCAGGCTGGAGTGGAATTCAATCCTGATCTTCCTACCTCTCTACTTCATAAATTTGGAAATTACACATCTGTGTAATAGACCCACCAACTCCTGCTTCCTTTTCCCTCCCTCCCTCCCTCCCTCCCTCTCTCCCTCCCTCCCTCCCTCTCTTTGTTATTTCATTCCAGTCGCTGAGCCCAGGGCCTTAGGCACAGTAAGCGCACACTCTACCACTGAGCCACACTTCAGCCTCATAAATTGTAACTTTTTTTTTCTGGAATCCTTTCTGTAAACCAGGCTGGCCTCAGACTCATAGATCAGCCTGCCTGTGCCTCCAGAGTGCTGGAATTAAAGTGTGTGCCACCACCACCCGGTCCATAAATTGTTTAACAAAGTTTTTTTTCCCCAAAAAATGTCAAAATGTGCCTCTAACATTAATATTCTAGGAACAGAGGCTGTCCTGTTATGGGTAGTTCAGGGCTGGGCTGAAATGGAAAAAAAAAAATTAAAGACCACTGCCCCTGCCCCCCCCCTTCCAAAGCTGGTCACTGCCCAGGAAAGAATCTAAGTCAGCACAGACCATCCAAGTGACGGGACACAGAGTTCCCTGGACAATCCGGTGGTAACAGACATCCTCACAGGCACTCTGGGACTAGGGCAGAGCCTGCAAGGAGGGGACAGGAAGGCTGAGGACACAGAGGAGAGTCACCTCCTGCCCCAGCCCTCGAGCTCTCTGGTAGTGATAAAGAGTGAAAATACTTTCAAGAGAAAATCCTAAGAGTTCATTGCCTGGTATGTGTAATCCCAGCTTCAGAGAAGTTGGGGCAGGAGGATCACCAGTTTGAGCTATACAATAGAAAGCTGTGAGGGGAAAAAAAAATGCCTATCAAAGGTGAAATACCTAGGATATGTTTTAAGAGAGAAAAGGCAGGCTGTCTGTTGTGTATGTATTACTGGTATACAGAAATGACACGATGGTTGAAATACGATGTGTCTATACTTAAGGTATTTCGGAACGAGACCAGAAGGCGCAGTCCTGAGCACTATCGCGGCATGGTCAGAAGCTAGCAAACACGAGCAGTAACGGCTTTTACAGCTGGCTCACAGAAGCTAAGAATGCTCATCCCTGTGGAGACCTGACCGGGGCTCATCTTCCTGCTCTTGACGTCTACAGTACTTTTCTTTGCACAACAACTGTCTTTCTTCCTGGATAAAGAGTGTCCCTGAACCCCACCACTGCTGAGCCTTGGGGGTGACTGTGCTTTGTGCTGAGGGGCTGCCCTGTTGGGCGTTCAGCCACTGCATCTAGGTATGACAACTAGAGATGTCTCTGCACATTGGTAACTGCCACTTACAGAAAAAAATTCTCAGGTGGAGGACCACGATCTTAAAATACTTGGTTTTTTTTTTTTTCCCTTTCTTGTTTTCCTCTTTCATTCACAAGGCTGGGGGTGGAACCCAGGAGCACAGGCTAGTTGAGTGAGTGTTCGACCTCTGAGGAAACACCCTATTCCTCCCATGCATACTATATATCCACACCGGCAGGACGGCACAGACATGTCCACTTTCTGTATCAAGCATAGCTATATATTATATACTCTTTTTAGTAAGTGCTATCCACGGCCACAGGGCAATGTGTGGAGGGAGTTCTCTCCTTCTATCTTTACATGGGTTCCAGGGGTTAAACTCAGGTCCACAAGCTTGATATTGAGTGTGTTCACCCATTGAGCAAGCTTGCCAGCCTCCAGTATCGTAAACATCTTAATTAAAAAAATATACTACCGCCGGGTGGTGGTGGTGCACGCCTTTAATCCCAGCACTTGGGAGGCAGAGGCAGGTGGATTTCTGGGTTCGAGGCCAGCCTGGTCTACAGAGTGAGTTCCAGGACAGCCAGGGCTACCCAGAGAAACCCTGTCTCGAAAAAAAACAAAAACAAAAAAATTAAAAAAAAAATATTGCCAGGCAGTGGTGGTGCACGCCTTTAGTCTCAGCATTTGGGAGGCAGAAGCAGGTAGATTCCTGAGTTCAAGGCCAGCCTGGTCTACAGAGTTCCAGGATAGCCAGGGCTATACAGAGAAACCCTGTATTGAAAAGCAAACAAACAAACTATACATATATATATATATATATATATATATATATATATATTGCTGAAGTCAGGAATGGTGACATATAATCCTAGCCCTCAAGAGGTGTCAGTAGGAAGACCAGAAATCCAAGAATTTAAGATCATTATTAGCTAGGTAATGAGTCCTGGGCCAGCCTGGACTACTGGACTACATGAGATCCTGAGATCCTGTATTAAAACACAAAAAAACAGTGGAAATATATATATATATAACTTTAAGAAATTATATAATTCACTGGCAAAATGCTTGCCTGCCAGGCAAGGCCTTGGGCTCAATTCCAAGCACAACAAAAATATAAAATACAATTTATAAACACACACACACAAATTATTGCACCAGTGCAGTGGTGGTGCGCACCTTTAATCCCAGCTCTTGGGAGGCAGAGGCAGGTGGATCTCTGAGTTTGAGGCCAGCCTGGTCTACAGAGGGAGTTCTAGGACAGCCAGGGCTACACAGAGAAACCCTGTCTCCAAAAAAACAGAAAGGAAATTAAGTGCCAACAGTTGCACTGACTTAAACCACTGTTTGTGTGCCCATCTGACCTACAGGAATAAGGGAGTGGGGCTCCTGCTCACTTGGTACACAGTGCTTTACTGGATTCCATCTCCAGCTCTACATAAACCAAGCCTGTAATCCCAATTCCAAAATGGAAGTGGGAGGGTCAGAAGTTCCAGGGTATCCAAGGCTAGCCTGGGCTACATGAGTCCCTTATCCCTCCCCTCACCACCCCAAATACTAAGATTCAAATATGTAGTCCCACACTTAGAAGGCAGAGACAGAACAATGACAACTTCCAAGGCAACCTGGGGCTACATTAACAAAACAAAACAAACAAACAAAACCCAACTAAACAAACCGCCAAACGTCTAAGAAAGTCGCCTGGGATTTGGTTCAGTGGTAGTGTGATTTTTGGCAAGCACAAGGCCTTAGGATCAAAGTTTTCTCACTACAGCAAAATACGTGAATAGCCAGGAATTGTGGCCCACACCTTTAATCTCAATATTCCGGCAAGAGAGGCAGGTAGATCTCTGTAAGTTCCAAGCCAGCCTGATCTACAAAACAAGTGCCAGGACTACACAGTATGACCCTGTCTCAAACTTATAAGAAAGAATGGAAAATATGTCACAGAATGACGACACCAAGGTAGGGAAGGTAATTCTCGATACTGTTTTATTCTTACAATTGTATAAAGAATCCACACTTGTCACCCACAGTTTACAGATTAAGCCAAGTTTCCGGGAAATTAGGAGAGCGGGCCCTAGATTCCACAGGCTGCAAGGTGATGAGGTTAGAACACAGCTCCGGCAAACAGAGCAACTCGCAGACAGTCATAGACGCTACAGCTCCACAATCATAGAGACAGGCAAAACTCGCCAAGCAGCTACAGTGTGAGCTGACACCCTAGGCTATGAGCAAGTTCACAGGCAGCTCCAAGTCGGTCTGCAAACTAAAGCAAAGCAGCAGCATTCTTAACAGGCATCCCCTGGTCTCAGGTAACACGGGGAGGGGGACGCGGGTCTATCTATCTCGGGTCCTGGCTGAGAGTAAGTGGTGTCAGACTCACCGAACTGCATCCAGTCCCACTCACTGAGCGTGTCTATATTGCGGCACAGGTCGTCCAGCACCCAGGACGGCAGCTGGTAGATGTAGCAAGTCATGGCGAGACTGCGCGGCGACTGAGCCTGTGGCTGAGGGCCACAGCTTTCCTAGCAAAGGGCGGCGCTGCCCGCGGCCGCACTGGGTAAGCGACCGAGCGCCCCCGAGCGGCCAACCGCGGTAGCACGCTCTACCCAAGCCATGGCTGAGAGCGGCCAAGCCAGCACCTCCCAGTGGCATTCAGTAGCACATGCCACCTGTCTCCTGGACCAGTGCCAGTAGTGGACCAAGGCCCTGGGAAAGGCACCCTACAACCCAGAGTTCCAAGGCACTCCCGGAGGCTGGCTAACTCGACCTCCACGGCCTCCTGGAATGCACTCGTTTAACAGGTGCTGATGAGACTTAAGCAGAGAAAACCCACAGATTTTTGCCTTCAGTGTGGGCAGAAGGAACAAATTAGACAATGTGCGGAACAATTTAGAAGTGTGCTAGGCGTAATGTTACACATCCATCACCTCAGTTCTCAGCTGTCTGAGGCTGGAGAACTGTCACAAGTTCGAAGCCAGTCTGGTTCTGGTTATGCACACTGAGTTCCAAGGCAGGCCAACCAGACTACAAAATGAGACTCTCTCTCTCTCTCTCTCTCTCTCTCTCTCTCTCTCTCTCTCTTTAATTAAAAAGTAAACCCTCATTTGGTGGTGAACACATTTAATCCTAGCAGTCAGGAGACAGAGGCAGAGGCAGGTGAATCTCTGAGTTGGTGGCCAGTCTGGTCTAGAGAATTAGTTCCAGGACAGCCAGGGCTACACAGAGAAACCTATCTCGAAAAACAAAAAGTAAAATAATAAAAAGCAATAACAAATAGTTTTCATATCAAGAAAAAGTTCGCTGGGCGGTGGTGGCACATGTCTTTAATCCCAGCACTTGGGAGGCAGAGGCAGGTGGATTTCTGAGTTCGAGGCCAGCCTGGTCTACAGAGTGAGTTCCAGGACAGCCAGGGCTACACAGAGAAACCCTGTCTCAAATAAACCAAAAAAAAAAAAAAGTTCATATTTGGAGGTGGGGCTGGAGAAGTGGCTTGGTGGCTAAGAGCCCTTACTACTTTTGAGAAAGCAGTCCCTAGCGCCAACATGGCAGCTTACAATAATCGCTATCTCTAGTTTCAAGAGATCTGATAACTTCTGATGTCCTCAGTGACCAAGCATGCACGTGGTGCACACACATACATGCAGTCAAAACACTTGTACACACAAAATAAAATAAATGTAAAAACTTAAAGTCATTTTAGCCATTGGTGGCTGTCTAGAAAAACAAAACAAACAAACAAAAACCACAAAAGACTCATTTTATTTTCTGTGTAAGCTCTGTCTGTCCTGATACTCACTCTGTAGATCAGGTTGACCTTGAACTTACAGAGATCCACTTGTCTCTGCCTCCCAATTGCTGTGATGAAAGGTGTGTACCACCATTCCAATGGTTAGGTCATTGCTTAGAACTTTATTTCTCTGCCATGTCGGGGATCAAGCCCAGGGTTTTTGTCATGCTAGGCAAGTGTTCTATTGTTCTGCTTATCTTCCTAAGTTCCTGAAACTAGATTTTGGGGAGTAAAAATGAGCCCATCTAACACTGGAATGGATCTTACCCTCCAGGAAGATAATGTTTCCCTCCAGTCCGTCAAGCATGATGCCCTTGGATCCTCTTCACAGCTCATTCAGCACAAGACTTATTTACTGTTGGGAGCCGACTCCTAGCCAAAAGTGGCTATCATCTTTGCAGCCATCTTGAGCCATATACCCTGACAAGAGACTTGTTTTCAACAGCCCACTACAGCTGAGCACACTCTGATAAACATCTTGTTTTTCTCACATATCTTTTTTTTTTTTAAAGTCTTTTTTTTTTAATATTTATTTATTTATTTTATTGATGAGTACACTGTAGCTGTCTTCAGACACACCAGAAGAGGGCATCCAATCTCATTACGGATGGTTGTGAGCCACCATGTGGTTGCTGGGATTTGAACTCAGGACCTCTGGAAGTGTAGTCAGTGCTCTTAACCGCTGAGCCATCTCTCCAGCCCCTTTCTCACATATCTTGTTTTGCTGTTTAATGCCACCAGTGGCTAGGCACACGTGGTCTCCACGCTGCTGGGCACACGGGGTCTCCACACTGCTAGCTAGGTGCACGTGATATCTACGCTGCAAGGCACATGACGTAGTGCCTTCAGCCTCATGGGCAAGGCACGTGGTAAAGGGTATAAATACCCAGGATTTCCTTTCAATAAACGAGACTTGGAGAGACTTGATCAGACTCCCTGTCTTGTCTCCATTCTTCGAGTCTCTGTCCCCACTCTCTCTCTTGCTAGGCCCTGACCCTCGAACCGGAGCAGCATAACGGGCCATTACAAAGTGACCCCCCAGCCGGGCGGTGGTGGCGCACGCCTTTAATCCCAGCACTTGGGAGGCAGAGACAGGCGAATTTCTGAGTTCGAGGCCAGCCTGGTCTACAGAGTGAGTTCCAGGACAGCCAGAGCTATACAGAGAAACCCTGTCTCGAAAAACCAAAAAAAAAAAAATTCCTAAAAAAAAAAAAAAAAAAAAAACAAAGTGACCCCCCAGAATGTGTGAGGCAGCTTGGGTGGCTACAAAGTGGCACCCAATGTGGGGCTTGAGTAAGCAGGATACAGAGAAGGACACATCGGGAATTGGAAGCATGCATCCTCACTCCTGCGCTGGAGACCCTGTTAACTGACCTGAACAGGTTGCTACAAAGTGGCGCTCAACGGGAGGCAGCAAGAATGAGAGGCCCAGTGAGGGAAGTTACCAGGAGAAGGGTGGACTGAAACTTCAGAAGTGAAACACAGGTGATTGCAGCAGGAAACTGCCCTGTGGAGACCAGTAGGTCATAGTAATGATAATGGGGCAGGAAATGAGTCAGCCTGAACTCAACTCTGTTTTTGTTTTGTTGTTTGCTGTTTACGTGTGTCAATTGTCTGCTTTTGTTTCGCTGTTTAAATGCTGTCTTTCATGTTCAAAAGAAAAAGAAAAGCATAGAATCCAAAATACGACCAAAGGTTGAAGTAATCGATTTGTCAGAGCCAGATTGTGCTGACCGAGTGGAAGAGGCAGCCAAATATTAGACTCAAGAGAGAACCCATTACCACAGTTACTATAGTTGTTTTTTGGGTTTGAGATTGATTGGGGCAGGAACAGGGATTTCCTTACTTGTTTTGTTAAGATCAAAGTTATGATCAGTTCTGTACTTATATAGATTTAGTTTTAGAAAATAGTGTTACGGCCGGGCGGTGGTGGCGCACACCTTTAATCCCAGCACTTGGGAAGCAGAGGCAGGAGGATCTCTGAGTTTGAGAGTTCGAGGCTAGCCTGGTCTACAGAGTGAGTTCCAGGACAGCCAGGGCTACACACAGAGAAACCCTGTCTCGAAAAAAACAAAAAAAAAAAAGTGTTACAGAATAGAAGAGGCTTATACTTTTTACTCCTCCAACAGAGGGAGTTGAGCACTACTCTTAAAAAAAGTGTTGCTCTGAGGCAGAATGGTTTACACCAACTATTCCGACAGCATTAAGTCTCTTGTGTCTCGGGTCCATGCTGTTCAACAGACTGATGGCTTTTACGACAACAGATAGACGCTATTCAAATGAAACCCATACAGGTCCATTATTACAGGCTGGAAGTAGGAGACTCTAAAACCTCTGTCATCAAGACTGATGAGGATTAACCCCTAACTTAAGCGCTAAGCTGGATAGTCAATGACGGGTCAGAGAACACCTCAAGACCCTTGCCCCTAACTGGGATGCCTCACTATCCTAAGACAAGAGCTCAACCAATGGCTGTTGAGTATCCAGAGAAAGGGAGGCTGGGGGTCCTTTGTTCCAACCTAAGACAGATACAGTTTCCGTAAGTTTTCCCAGCCTTCCCTTTTGAAAACAAATTTAAAAAGGGGGACCTGTTGGGAGCCGACGCCTAGCCAAAAGCGGCTATCATCTTTGCAGCCATCTTGAGCCATACACCCTGACAAGAGACTTGTTTTCAATAGCCCACAACAGCTGAGCACACTCTGATAAACATCTTGTTTTTCTCACATATCTTGTTTTGCTGTTTAGTGCCACCAGCAGCTAGGCGCACGTGGTCTCCACGCTGCTAGCTAGGCACATGACGTAGTGCCTTCAGCTGTGCTTGTCCACGAGGGCAAGGCACATGGTAAAGGGTATAAATACCCAGGATTTCCTTTCAATAAACGAGACTTGGAGAGACTTGATCAGACTCCCTGTCTTGTCTCCATTCTTTGCATCTCTGTCCCCACTCTCTCTCTTACTAGGCCCTGACCCTTGAACCGGAGCAGCATAACGGGCCATTACAAAGTGGCCTCCCGAACGTGAGGCAGCTTGGGCGGCTACAATTTACTTTCCCAATTCAAGTAAAAGTTTGTGAACCAGAATATATGTAGCTTTGGTTCACCATCGTTTAAAAAAAGCAAAAAAGAAAAAAGAAGCCAGGCAGTGGTGGTGCACGTCTTTAATCTCAGAATTCAGGAGGCAGAGGCAGGCAGATCTCTGAGTGTGAGGCCAGCCTGGTCTACAGAGGGAGTTCCAGGACAGCCAGGACTAGACAAAGAAACTATCTACTGGACAATGTCTGTTTAAAGTTGAAAAGAATAAAAATTGTGACTGACAGACATGTACTCCAGTCCTGGCATGATGGAATGCACCTGCAGTCCCAGGTACCTGGAAGGCTGAGACAGGAGGATTGAAAGTTTGAAGCCATCTGAGAAACTTAGTAAGATCCTGTCTCAAGGTAAAGTAAAATAGGGCTAAGACTGAAGCCCATATGTCAAGTTAGCATTTGCCTAGCATGATCAAGACCTTGGGTTCAAACCCCAGGGGCCACTCACCAACACACACACACACACCCCACACACAGACAAATAAATAAATGTAACGAAAACATTTTTAAAACCATCTCCAAGAACCAGGGAGATAGCCCAGCAGGTGAAGGTGATTGCTGCTGTCTTAGAGTTTTACTGCTGTGAGCAGACACCATGACCAAGGGCAATTCCTATAAAGAACAACATTTAATTGGGGCTGGCTTATAGGTTCAGAGGTTCAGTCCATTATCATCAAGGCAGGAACATGGCAGCATCCAGGCAGGCATGGTGCAGGAGGAGCTGAGAGTTCTACATCTTCATCTTGAACTGCTAGCAGAATATTGGTTTCTAGGCATCTAGGATGAGGGTCTTACATGTCCACACCCACAGTGACACACCTATTCCAACAGGGCCACACCTTGTAATAGTGCCACTCCCTGGGCCGAGCATATACAAACCATCACAGCTGCCATAACTGATGACCAGCATACCATGTCCAGGACACACATGATGGAAGAAAACCAACTCCCAAAAGTTGTTCTCTGATCTTATGTATACCCTGGCACAGGCATGCATGCCCCCCCCACCACGAATGCATACATGCAAAAATAAACACAACTTTGTTTATTGAGACACCATCTACCTGTGTAGCTTTGGCTGGCCTTGAACTAATTACGTAGACCAAACTGGCCTTGAAGTCACAGAGGTTAAAAGCATGAGCCACCATGCTCAAGTAAGTCAATGTAATTTTTAAAGATTTTATTTATTTTATGCATACTAATGTTTTGTCTGCACGTGTGCCTGTGCACTCAGTACTTGCATGTCTAGTACCCATAGAGGTCTGAAGAGAGCACTGGAGTCCCTGGAGCTGCAGTTTCAGGCAGTGTGGACAATTGTGAGCTGCCATGTGAGTGAGTGGCTAAAATCTCAGTCACCTGCAAGAGAGTCAGGGCTCTAAGCCACGGGGCCATCTCTCTGGGCCCCGTATAAATGGAGCTTTTTTTTTTTTGCTTTTTTTTTTTTTAAGATTTACTTATTTATTATATATGAGTACACTGTAGCTGTCTTCAGACACACCAGAAGAGGGCATCAGATCTCATTACAGATGGTTGTGAGCCACCATGTGGTTGCTGGGATTTGAACTCAGAACCTCTGGAAGTGCAGTCAGTGCTCTTAACCACTGAGCCATCTCTCCAGCCCCCATAAATGGAGTTTTTAAAGATGTCATTTTCTAGCTGGGCACCCCAGCTACCAACTCCATGATCAAGCCAAGAGAATCATCTGAATCCAGGAGTCAAAGGCCAAACGATCCACAAGCATCTTGTCTGAGTTATTCCTGGGGTCTAATGGAGCACACATTGAACTCAAACACTCAGGTGACTAAGATAGGAAAATCACAAGTTCCAGGCCAGCCTGGGCTCCAAAACAAGTTTGGAGTTAAAAAGTTAAAAGCCAGCACCCTGTTACCACTAAAGAATGCCACCCCCCTTGCAGGTGAGCTACTGTTGAGGTATATTCCTTGTCTAGCAAACACTCTCACGGTTACCATACATGGTCCCCATGGCTTTCCTGGGCCTGAGTTATCTACTCTGGTATTAGTAACAATTGTGGAGGCAGCTCCCGTAGGACCGTGATAGGATGGCTGGTGTGTCGAAGCGCTGGCTGGAAATAGCCCAGAGACCCAACAGGTCTCCATTGCCTGTGAGAGACAGGCATCTGTTCTGCAGTGCTCCCAGAATCCAGGCTCCTGACACGTGGCATGACCTCCGTTTGATCTCCACCTTGCAGTCACATTTGGGTAGAGAGGATGTGACTACAGGCTTCAGCCTTGAGAGATTTCCATATTCATGAGTTACCTAAAGGCCAGGGGGTGTGGCTAAATTAAATTATTCCTTCTCAGTCCCTCCTCTCCCCCCTCCCCTATTTAAGGCAGGCCTGCCCTGGCTTAGATTGGGGGGTGCAAATCCAGATCCAACTACCACATTATGACAATAAAACTCTTGGAACCCATGGACTTTCTCATATCATTGGGGCCTGCTGTTGCCAAAGCTTCCAGCCTTTGGAACTCCAGACCTTCGGTTGCTGGGACCCGCCAGTGTGGAAAGTCCCACCCCGGGCCCCTGCTGCGGTGGGTTTTTCACACAAGCTCCCAGACCTGTTTTAACTTTTTCTACTTAGAAGTTACCCTGCCCCCTTACATTTAATAAGGACAGGCACCTATAAGTTCTATTTTAGAAACTAGTTTCAGGCCTTTGCTTATAATTCGGTGCTTTTGCTCAATCTTTTTGGAAGACCGCCTTAGACCTTATCTAATCTTTTTCTGCTGTGCAGCCTTAGGGTTTCTGTTGCTGATAAACATCAGGACCAAAAGCAGCCAGGGCAGGAGCTCAAACAGGGCAGGAACTGAAGCAGAAGTCATGGAGGAGTGGAGGTTGTGTTCTGTCTGCTTTACTACAGTACCTTCCAAAGACCAGCAGGCCGGGCCTGGCTCGACCACAGGAATCATACAAAAAAAAAGAAAAAAGAAAAAAAAAAAGACCGAAGGCCAATACTATGGAGGTAATTTTTTCATCAATTAAAATTCCTTCTTTTCAGATGACCTTATCTTTGTGTCAAGTTGACATTAAAACTAGCCAGCATATCTCCCAAATGAACTATCAGGTGTGTGTGGTGAGGGTGGAGGTAGGATAGTATTGAAGCCAGGAGTTCAGGGCAATACTGGAGTTTCAGACAGGCCAGGGACCAGCACTAGTGTGTGTGCACACATATGTGCGTGTGCGCATGTGTCCATGTGTAGTGCTGGGGATCAAACCCAGGGTCTCTGACACGGCAAGTCAAACAAGTGCTCCCCGACTGAGACACACTCTCTAGTGCGCTGATCCCAAACCCAGTGCTGTCTGCCTGGGTTGTGTTAACTACCTTCCTTTTTTTGGTTGTTAAAAAATGTTAAAAATCTGTTCTCCATGTGAATTTTTCTTGTTCTTTTTCTGTTTGTCTTGACTTTTTTGAGATGAGGTTCCTCTGTGTAGCCCTGACTGTCTTAGAACTTGCTCCAGAGATCAGGCAGTGTGGTTTGAGCTCTCTGAAGGGAGGCAGCGCTGGAAACTGAGGGTGGAGAGGAACAGCCTGATGTGAATAGCCTGCACTGTCACTTGAGGCCACAGTGAAATCCCTGCCTGTGTTGCCACTGAGGACCACGTCTGGCTCTGTGACCATGCAACAGCAGGGGTCTGTGTTGATGATGTCCTGGTCTGGCCTGCTACATGGGACCATGTTGATGTCCAAGGACTATACAGAACTGGCTCCACATCTTACTGGCTTCTGCACTCAGAGTGGGCCCTGTACACCTGGGCAGCACTAGAGCTGGCCCTGGTGGCAGGGGTCATTGGCAGGGGTCATGAGTGAGCTGGCTCTGAGAGGGTGAATGCAGGACAGCTGGACCTGCCACTTGTGGTAGGCAAGATATCACACACACCCCCACACTACTGCAGGCAGAAGAGTTGGCCCAGGCTCTCCCCAGCTGCAGCACTCTGAAAAGTGGGCCCTGTACTTCACCTGGGCAGCATAGCAGAGCTGGCTCTAGTAGCATGGGCACAGATGAGCCAGCTCTGAGGGCATGAGAGCTGGAGAGCTGACCCTGCCCTTTGTTGGCTATGGCATTCGGTGAGCTAGCCCCAGGCAGTGCTGGAAAGCTTACCCTGGTGGTGTGGGTGTGGGAAAGCTGGTGAGTTGATCAACTCAGCTAACATCCAGGCCCAGACCCCACCCCAACAAATTAAAGAGAGATTATCTGTGTGTGTGTATGTGGGTGTGTGCATTAAACAGCAGGTGACCTTGGAGGCCAGAGGCATTAGATTCCTTGGAGCTAAAGTTACAGATAGCCCAGTTGTTTCTAATAGACAAGGCCTTTATTAGCTCAGGTTAGCCTGAAACTTACTATGTAATGAAGGATGACCCCCACCCACCTCCTGATCCAAATGCCTCCGCTTGCAGAATTCTGGGATCTCAAGAGTAGGCCACCACACCTAACTGAGTATTTCATCACCATTTTCTTCAGTGTTTAAATGCTTTAACAGATACTAAATTTTTTTTTTTAAGATTTATTTCTTTATTATATATGAGTACACTGTAGCTGTCTTCAGACACACCAGAAGAGGGCATCAGATCTCATTACAGATGGTTGTGAGCCACTATGTGGTTGCTGGGATTTGAACTCAGGACCTTTGGAAGTGCAGTCAGTGCTTTTAACCACTGAGCCATCTCTCCAGCCCAGATACTAAATTTTTATAAGGAAAACAAAGCTAGAAGAAAGTTTTAAATTAAAAAAAAAAATCTAAGGCTGAAAAGAGACTGTAAAGGAACCTGAGGCCTTGTTTCTTGACCCACCCCCACAGCACTCCACAGCCATTTCAGCTCCCACAGGGAAGAGCCCTCTCAGAGGGGAAAGGAGAGGAATGAAGTGAAGAACTCTGGGAGGGGGAACCAGGAAAGAGGCCAACATTTGGGATATAAATAAAATTAATTTTAAAAAATTAATAATAATAAAAAAAGGAAACAATACACTAGCTTCCTTAACTTAGCACCATTTATTGTACTAAAGGTCAGCTTTTTTCAGAAAACTCAAAGGAGAAAACACAGTCTGAAGAACACATTTACAGGATGTCCAGGACAAGTGACTCATGTCCTGAGTCTCCACTTTTTGGACAGCACAGAGAACAGTATTCAAACTTCCAGTTGAATAACACAAACATTACATCTTTTAGAGGCAGAGATAGGTTTAATAAAATAAAACCAATCTTGTAGTAGCTCGGCAGCTGCGGACTTCCCACACGCAGGCCCTCCACACTGGCCTGTGGCCACTTCACTCATGGAATGCTGCAGACTAAGGAGAGACACTGAGAGGACAGTGGGAGGTGTCAGGATTTAGTTCAGTCATTTTGCTGATCTTAGGGCATCAGACTGCACTCAAGGAGCCCAGGATTCGGACAAATAATCCCAACAGTTACCCTCAAAGGAAGAGGATAGCACACCGGTATTTTTACAGCGTGTTGCAGTAACATGGAAAAGACAAGTTACGAAGTTAGATGAAGATTAGGCATACTTTAATCCCAGCACTGGAGAGGCAGACAGATCTCTCCATTTGAGGCCAGTAATCAGTTGTTTGGTCTACAAAGGGAGTTCCAGGACAGCCTGGGTTACACAGAGAAACCCTGTCTCAATAAAACAAAAACCAAAAAACAACCCCCCCCAAAAAAAAACAAAAAGGGGGGGAACAATGAAGCTTAATGAAAAATCAGGATATAAAACTGTATATACCTTATGATCTCGGCTACGACAAACTGCTTTAACCAATTAAAATATACTCTACAGAGAACACTCAGTTACAGGGGTTATGGGAAGCTGAGAGCGTATGACAGCCTTTCTGCTTCCTTTTAGTTGATTGTCCTTTCTGGTGTATGCCACCATACCCAGGGTTCTCTAATTTTTCTCTGCTAAGGAAATTAAAAACAAATAAAAAATTATGTTTTACAAAATGTTTGATAGAAGTAATGAATATGAATATTTGAATATGTAAGAAAAGCTGTGACCGTCCATAAAAGTACTACACGTTCCAGACTGCTCTGTGACCCATTGTTTGGCTGACTGGAGTTTCACTCCCTTCTCCAATCAAAGCAGAATGAGGGCTTGCAAAAACAAAGTGGAATGCTAGGGGCCGACAGGAAGGAACAGAAATCCCTGCTCCTGCCAGCAGCTTCCTCAAAGACAGGAGCTCTCCAAACCAGACAACACAAGGATGGCTCTTCTCTGCTGTCTGTGACAGTGAGTATGGAAAGCATGCTGCAAGACTGGGTCAGGAGGCAGGACCAACTCCAGCTGGAGGCCAGGCAGGGTAACAGTATGAGCCCGTCTCTAAATGGGAAAAGCAGGAGCAGAGCAGGCTGTGGTGCACACATGTGCCCCCAATGCTAGGGCAGGGGACACACTCCCGGAGGATAAGGAATTCAGGACCTGCTACTGAGAGACTGAGGCTGGCCTGGGCTACACAAAAGTCTCAAAAATAAAATAAAAAACAAACAAAGTAGAAAGTGCTGAGACATGAAAAATGAGAAAAATGAGAAAAAGTTCTTCCTAACCAGAGGCGGCTAAGCTGCTCCTTTCTGTGTACACTTAAGGCTTTCCTCAAAGAGCCAGACCCTCCCAGCTCTTCCACCGAGCACCCAATGGTTTCTTCGTCCAACATTCATGACTGAAGACTCCACAAACATTAGGCGCTGGGCCTCCATAGGATGTCCATCCCAGCATGAGGCCCTTCTCAGCATTCCCAAAGCAAGAGGTGAGCCCTCTGTTCAAATGCAAACGCATTCTTCAAATTAAAGGGCACAGTACAACTCCTGCTGAAGAGCTTACAATACAGACATCCTTACATGGAACTTCAGCCTCACCAGGAAGCAGAACTGAAAACACCTTCTTCTGATGAGTGCTCTAGAACGGGCAGACTCAGTGGCACTTTGCATGTTTATTCTTAAACACTACAAAGCTCAATGACGTTAAACTTTCTTTTACATGATGGATATTTTACTCCAAGAATGAACCATTTTAAAACCGAAAGGAAGTGACCTGTCCTCTGTGTAGATCAATTTCAGACCATCAAGGCTGAAACTCAGGCCCACTAATCTCAATGGACTCCTTCAGGCTCCTCTCCCCGGTGCTGATTCTCAAGGTGCTCTTGGGTCAGCCGCTGTATGTCCTTCTGCACATTTGGATGGTCTTCCAAATCTTCATAGAGTGACCTGACGATGTCCAGCCTCCTGTAGTTCTCAGGCTTCACCAGGCTTCGCACAACCTGAAGGCACCGCTCTTTCAGGGTATACACTGCAAGAGTAGGAAACCAAGTCCTCAGAGGCAGACTCTGGTCACATGATGAGCCAGATACCACCAAGCAACAACAATCACATTTACCTTGTGACTCTTGCTGTAGGGTAAAATAAAAAGTGGAGCACATGTGACCGTCACTTCAGCACGGGCTCATCAAAGTGGCCTGGGCTTTTTTTCAACTAATCAAATGTGAAGCGACCTTGGTAACCAGGGCCTAAGCCTCAAGGAGGCCCAGCAACGTCTGTCTGGTAGACAGTCACATGGCAAGAGATACCAGAGCATTGTGAGCCTGGGTAGAGAGTAACCACACTATCTGAACTCACTAAGGTGCTAGGCAGAGTGGCTTATACATGTAACCACAGCATTTGGGAGGCTGAGACAGGTCTCTCTAAACTCAAGATTAGCCTGGTCTACATAGAAAAGTTCCAGGGAAACCAGGGCAACAGTTAGAACTTGTCTCAAATAAAATAAACAAAAAAATAAAATATAGTAAATCAGGCACAATGGTACAAGCCTATAATACTAGCACTTAGGAGACAAAGTCAGAAAAAATGGTGGAAGTTTTGGTCTAAATGTAGAGATCCAGTTCTGCCAGGGTCACAGAGCAAAACCTTTCTTAATAAATCAAAACAGGCCGGGCAGTGGTGGCGCACGCCTTTAATCCCAGCACTTGGGAGGCAGAGGCAGGTGGATTTCTGAGTTCGAGGCCAGCCTGGTCTACAGAATGAGTTCCAGGACAGCCAGGGCTATACAGAGAAACCCTGTCTCGAAAAACCAAAACCAAAAAAAAAAGGCAGACCATTGGAGCGGTAACATCTGAGGTTGCCTGCAGGCCTTTACACCCAAGAAGTATGATTTACCTGCACAAGCATACTCACAGTCAATCAAGAGATCAGCTGGAAGAGCACACAAACCTCTGTGTGTGTGATTCCCAGAACCACACAGCACCATAGTGGGGTATGCCTGTAATTCCAGCAGGAAGATTAGTGGTTCAAGGTCATCCTCAGCTACATACTGAGGTCAGCCTGGGAAACATAAGACCCTCCTAAGAAAGAAAGAAAGAAAGAAAGAAAGAAAGAAAGAAAGAAAGAAAGAAAGAAAGAAAGAAAGAAAGGAAGGAAGAAAGGAAGAAAGGAGGAAAGAAAGAAAGAGAGAAAGAGAGAGAGAAAGAAAGAAAGGAAGAAAAGCCAAAACAGTAATAAAACTGATAGTTACCAGGGAACTCAAAGACAGTAATTCCTCAATGTTCTTTTCTGATTATACACTTCTATACCTTTGTTTGGTTTTTGCCCCGAGACAGATCTCACTATGCAGCCCTGGCTGTCCTAGAACTTGTTCTGTAGCTCAGGCTGGCCTGGATCTGAGACCCGTCTGCCCGTCTAGGATTCAGGGCATGGCTAGGATGCCTAGCTGCAGCATTATTTCTTCGTTCCATTTAGAGCATGGTCGCAGAAAGCGGCGTGGGTGGCCTGACATTTGCTCTATAGTCTAGTCTTGAACTTGTGATCCTCCTGCCCCCTTGTCCTCCTCCTCCTGAGTAGCTGGGATCACAGAGCTGAGCAGCCAGGCCCAGCTTCAATGTTATCCTACTGTGCTTTGTTCTGGGATCAGGCCCAGCTTCATGCTGTCCTGTTGTGATTTGTTCTGGGATCCCAGGGCACCAGTCTGTAACAAGACCAAGGAACCAGAGGTCACAATGCTACAGGAGATGCCTTGGCTTAGCCAACTTCTTAAGAAACCAAAGTACTTTTGAGACACATCTTTTGTTCAACACAGGACAGAGAAATAAATACTTCCATTTCATCTATGGTAGAGGCTAACACTCATTACAATATTCACCCCTATCTTTTTCAAAGACTGGGCCAGTGTGGTGATTCAGGTCTATAATCCCAGCACTTAAAAAACCCAGGAATAGTTTTCTAAGTTGAAGGCCAGTTTGGGCTACATAGCTCCAGGGCAACCTGGGTTAGAAAGCTAGATCTTATTTCAAAAGAAGAAGAAAAATGTAAGACTATTAACCTGGCAATGTGATGTTGGCAAAAATAGGCTGTCCATCAACATTGAGGGATGGCACAAACAGTTCTGTTTGGTTAACCAGAAGTCCATCATGGGTCCCCGCATCCCTGAAGAGCCAAAGATGACCTGTCAATGCAAACAGAGGATAGTAAGAAGTCACACGGTCTGGCCATGGCACCTGCTTATTACCCCAAGTACATGAAACACTTGCCTCTCACTTTGCTTAATGCCTTAACAAAGGGAGGAGCAAGGCAACAGCACTCCTCAGGAAGAACCCTTACTCATGAGAGAGCAGGGCTGAAGGGAGATCCCCTGCTGAGAGGAGACAGAAAGCACAAGGAGCCTGGGCTCTGCTACCAGAGGGAAGGTGCATTTAGGTCAAGTGAGCACTGGAATCTCACCATGAACTGATGTGAAAGGAGCCCACGTGGCCATCGAGAGGCCACAGGAGGACTCGTGGGTAAGAACAGGTAAACTGATACATAGTGAGAACAGTGCACAAGAGCTTGACTCTGGGAGGGAAGGGGCTGAGGGAGACGGGGTAGCAGGAAGGATCTCTGTGGTGGACAGAAAAGTTCTCATGTCCAACTTCACTATGTGTTGCCACAACTGCAAAAATTCTCAAAGCAGAGATCTCTACATCTTTAAGTATAAATTATACGTTCATTTTTAAAAATGGGACAGTGTTAGCCAAGAAAAGGAGGCAAACCTCAGAGATAAGACTGTTTCAGAATAAAACTACCTCAAAATATGGCAATCTTTCATGAGATACGAACTTACTTGAAGACTTAGTGGGCATACTGTTATGCTGGAGACTGAACCCCACACCTCCCACCTGCCAGTAAGTGCCATATGTTCTATGAGCCCAGCTCAAAACTAATACAAACTTATTTTTAGGACAGGATCTCATGTAGCTCAGGCTGGTCTCAAACTGGTAGTCTTACTGCCTCAGCCTCATTAACACTGGAATTATAGGCATGCGTCATTGTGCCTGCCTTAATTCTTTTTATATAAGATAAGGCCCAGTACTGGAATACTGCACAGTGATAGAGTGCTTGCCTAGCATGGGTGAGGTCCTAAATTCAATCCCCAGCAGTTGCCAACCTCCTCACCCCACCCCCAATTTTTTTTTTTTTTTAAATCAGGCACAGACAAATCCTGGAGAATACAAAATTAACATGTTTCTGTGTAAAATAAGAAACTATAGAAATTTGATTCCTGTTTAGTTCTTCCTCATCAAACACTAAAAATTTGATATAAAAACAGACTGCAGCCAAGTGGTAGTGGGGAAAGCCTTTAATTCCAGCACTTAGGAGACAGAGGTAGGCGTATCTGTTTAATGCCAGCCTGTTCTACAGAATGAGTTACAGGGCAGTCGGGGCTGCACAGAGAAACCCTGTTTCTAAAAAAACAAACAAAACAAAAGCAAAAACAAAATAAAGGGCTGGAGAGATGGTTCAGTGGTTAAGAGCACTGACTGCTCTTCCAAAGGTCCTGAGTTCAATTCCCAGCAACCACATGGTGGCTCACAACCATCTGTAATGAGATCTGATGCCCTCTTCTGGTGTGTCTGAAGACAACTACAGTGTATTCATATATACATAAAATAAATAAATCTTTAAAACAAAATAAAAAGACAGACTGCTACATGCTGGGCCCCTATTCAAACAAACAAACAAACAAACAAATAGGCAGGGGCTAAGAAATAATGGTTCACAGCAGTTAAGAACACTTGTTCTTGCAGAGGACCCAGGTTTGGCTCTTAGCACCCATATGGCATCTAACAAGTATTTGTAGCTAGTTTTCAGGCATCAGTGCCTCTTGCTTGGCCTCCATAAGTACTTCATATGCATGATACAGATTCATCCTCAAGCAAAACACATGTACACATAAGGAAAACAATCACTAGCACTGAAACAAAATGCTACATCTCCAAATGTAAGAACCTTCTTTTTTCCTCTCTCTCTAAAAAAAAAAAAATTTGAGAAGCATCAGTTCATTTCATCTTATTGTTTTCATTAAGTCCGGGTAGCATGTTGCCCAGACTAGCTTCAACTCCTGATCACCCTGCCTCCGCCTGTTCTCCAGGTTTGCAGCACCATGTCTGACTGGTTACATGAGCTCATTAAATGTAGCACCACCAGGAGAAAGGTTCTACCAAGATCCTCCCTGCATGAGTATGAAAAGAATAGGAAAGTCTGTTCCACGAGGCTGAGGCAAGAGGACGTCATTGTTTGTCTGTCTTAGTCAATGCTGGTTGGAAGAGACACCGAAACCTCGGCAACTCTTGTAAAAGAAAGCATTTAATTGGGGCTTGCTTATAGTTTCAGAGGTTTAATCCATTCTCAGCATGATGGGAAGCATGGTGGTACCCAGGCAGACAGAGTGCTAGGCTTCTGAAACCTCAGAGCCCACCCCTAGTGGCATACTTCCTCCAACAAGGCCACACCTACTAATCCTTCACCACTTTCAAGCTACTAATCCTTAGGACTACACACTCTACGCATTCAAATATATGAGCCTACGGGAGTCATTCCTACTCAGACTGCCAAAATTATGTTCTCTTTTCCCGAGTGAGAACAGGCATTTAGGACATCAGATCCCTGGAGCTGGAGTTACAGGAAACTTGTGAGCTGCCTGGGTACTGAGACCCTAACCTTGCAAGACAGTATGAGCTGGCCTTGGTGACAAAGGCCTTTGCTTTAATCTCAGTACTCAGGGGGCAGAGGAATTTGGATCTCAATGAGAGGCCAGCCTGATCTACAAATTCCCACATCACTCAGCTGTCTTTTTGGTTGTTTCAGACCCAGTCTTGCTGCATAGCCCAGGCTTGCCTAAAACTCACTGAAATCCTCCTGTCTTGGCCACCTGAGTCCACATCCGGATCAGGGTACATCTTTCTTTCTTTCTTTTCTTTTTTTTTTTTGGGGGGGGGGGTTTTTTTTGAGACACGGTTTTTCTGTGTAGCCCTGGCTGTCCTCACTCTGTAGACCAGGCTGGCCTCGAACTCAGAAATCTGCCTGTCTCTGCCTCCCAAGTGCTGAGATTAAAGGCGTGCGATACCACCACCCAGCTAGGGTACATCTTTCAATACATAAATAAGGCAATGTCGCTGGGCAGTGGTGGCACACGCCTTTAATTCCAGCACTTAGGAGGCAGAGGCTAGGGCTACACAGAGAAACCCTGTCTCAAAAAACAAACAAACAAACAAACAAAAAAAGGCAATGTCAAACAGCCCCAATTCTATAGGGCTAAATCACCTTTTGAACTTTTTCTCTCACTGTATGGCAGCAAACAAAAAAAGCCTGAAGGAGTCATCTTGCCTCAGTTTCCTGAGTTCTGGGACCACATGAGAGCAGTTTCACGTGCTTTTCATAGCCATCTAGGCAGGACACTGATAGAACTGTTTTCCACTGATGCTGGTACAGTTAATAAGCTCACATGGTCAGGCTTGGTACAAACCTGAAATCAGTGCAAAAGAAGGAGGATCACTAGTTCAACCCCATAGATAATTCCACACTCACTTGTTTTCAGTCAAGACTCCAATCGGTAAAAGCGGTCCCCCAACTACAACTGTTAATTCCCTCGGCTGACTCTTATCCTACTCCCGTTCTTCTAGGAGGCGTGCTCTTTACCTGGACTCACCTAGACTCTGCCCATGCTTTCGCAAACCTCTGAGCCTGGTGCCTGCCTTTCGCAGCAATTATGACACAGGTTGGTTCTTGTCTGTTCCTGCATTTGTCTGTATCCCTCCAAGTTGTCACCACGAAGTCAGTAAAAACCTGACCGGGCACTGGGTACACTGCATCCGAAAGCCCTGGTGGGGGCCGAGCATTTCTCGGGGTAGATGCAGTGGGTAGGGACAAGGTGCTCGGGGGAGAAGAGAACACGCCGGGCCTGTTACAGCACCTGCGGCCTAGCGCGCGGCTCGTACCTCGGTAGCTGTGGATGCGGCGGCCGGTGCCCGGTGGTAAGGTTGGGTAGGGCTGAGGCTCGCCGTCAAAGTTGAGCCACAAAGGCAGCACGACGCGCGGGCTGCGGTTGCAGAAGATGACCTGAGAGGGCTCGCGCGAGTTCACCGAGCGCAGCACCGGCCGCTGCCGTCCAGCCTCCATCTCCTCAGGGTCCGGCTCTCCGGCGGCCTCCTCTGGATTAGCTGCCTTCCGGGGCATTATTGGAACTGGTCGCCTCCGGATTCGCAAACTGGACGTGGGCGGCGCGTGCGTGCGGGTTTACGCGCTCCCGGGCAGGTCTGCCGGCCCTAGACGCACTCCGTCCAGCTTGAACGCGGAAATGGCCGCCTAGATCCCTCAAGCTGGGGGGGGCGGGGCGGCACAGAGCCAGGGTCCGTGTGGTGGGCGGGGCCATGGAGGGGCGGGGCCGCGGCGGGGGCCGGAGTTATCGCTATAGATTCCACTTCCGTTTCTGTTTGTTTCCTTTCCTTTTATTTTTTTTTCTTTTTTCCCCCCAAGATAGAGTTTCTTCGTGTAGTTCTGGCTGTCTTGGTTTTTTTTTTTTTTTTTTTTTTTTGAGACAGGGTTTCTCTGTGTAGCCCTGGCTGTCCTGGAACTCACTCGGTAGACCAGGCTGGCCTCGAACTCAGAAATCCGCCTGCCTCTGCCTCCCAAGTGCTGGGATTAAAGGCGTGCGCCACCACCGCCCGGCTCTGGCTGTCTTGGAACTCACACCTTAGACCAGTCTGGCCTCGAACTCACTTCCTGCTTTGGCTCCCGAGTACTGGGATTGATGACTCTAGGGGATCTACAGGCACATGCATATTTGCACATACATGTGCACTTACACACACACTACACACAATTATTTTTAATGTGAAAGACCAGCCAGATGGCTCAGTGGGTTAAAATGCTTCCCATAAAGTTTGCCCTGAGCTTGATCCATGGAACCCACTGAACTGACTCTGGAAACTTGCCTTCTGACCTCCACAAACACACTACGGCACACACGTCTACACACACGTCGAAAAGTGGGCAGCAATAAAGGAAGACACCTGACATCGACATGTGGCTCATGTACTTAGACACCCCCAACATGCGTGCACAACCACTCCCATATGTCACCCCAATAAAGCAACGAAGAGATCCCCTGAAAATACAAACAGCTGTTTTTAAATTTTGTCAGAGCCATAGGTGGCTCAGGGGATAAAAGCACTTGCCTCATTACATACTCCTACCTGAGCACCTGTGTTCAATCCGGGCAACCATGCGGTGGAAAGAAAACTGACCCTTGAAGGTTGCCCAACCTCTACATGCACACCACTGTGTGTACCTGCCCCCCCTCCTCTGTCACACACACACACACACACACACACACTTTTTATAGGGCATGTGGTCCTCATGCTAACAGATAAGCTTTGGGGAAACCAGGAATGTTAATTGTGCATGGGTGTCTCCTCAAAGGAATAAATATCTGCTTTCCACCCAGAAAGCTGGGAGTAGGTGTTAATGACCTAGTGAATTTAGCAATCTGTAGAGCCAAACCTCACTCAAATCCCCCCTAATGTTTATCCCAGACTTTCCCTCCCTAGACCTTTATCTTTCCTGATTTACAGAGCCCATCTTTAGGGAAGACTGCATGTACTTTATAGTCAGCTGATCTCTATGCATTCAGATTTTAAGCCCTTAAACTATAAAACCTATCTCCATGTCATGTGTGCTTGTTCACCAGGAATTGTGTCACATTAGGAAGCTTTCACCACATTAAACTATGTTTAAATATGGTATCAGACTCTCTAGAAGTTTGAACCAGCACCAACTAAGTTGGGCATGGTTCCTGCCTGCAGTGACTTATGGGGACCCCCACAACTCTCAAGTTTTTAGTTTTCCTCATGTCTCAAGTCGGAAAACAGGAAAAGGCAGCATTGCATTTCTTTAGGAAGCACTGTGGTATACCGAAGAAAGGCATTATATTTTTCAATTAACTCAATCCAGGCTGGGCAGAGTGGTGCTCGCTTTCAATCCTAGCACTTAGGAGGTAGAGGAAGGTAGACCTTTGGAAGTTTGAGGCCAGCCTGCTCTACATAGCATGCTCCAGGCCAGCCAGAACTATAGTGTGACACTGTCTCAAAAAACAAAACCAAAAAATGAACTTAATCCTACACACAGTAAGGAGGTTACCCGGAGAAGCACCTGGACACCTCAAAGCACCACGTAAGATGAGGAAGTTACCAATGTAAGAAGCCAGATTCGTTAGTTTCCTACAACCAATATTACCAACTGCTCTTTGCAACCAGGACCTTATGATAAAGCAACATGGTACTAACCGACTTAACATTACCATCAACAAATAAACATACTATTATCTGCAAGATAAAACATTGAGCATTCATGTATTATCTTACCAAGTGTGTTTTCTTGCCCGTAAAGCCCATCATTTTGCCCTCTTACTATCTTGTGGTACAGTCCCCATTCACAACATGAACCACTGACTATTAAGGCAACTGCAGAGTACCAGGTAACTAACACAGCTTTAGAAGTGGTCCTTTATCTAGGAGGAAATGCAGATAATGAACGTGAGTGTCTGCTAAAGGCACACTACAATGAGTTTAGTAATATTGAAAAGAGAATTTAGGCCGGGCGGTGGTGGCGCACGCCTCTAATCCCAGCACTTGGGAGGCAGAGGCATGCAGATTTCTGAGTTCGAGGCCAGCCTGGTCTACAGAGTGAGTTCCAGGACAGCCTGGGCTATAAAGAGAAACCCCGTCTCAAAAAACAAAACAAACAAAACAAAACAAAAAAAAAAGGAAAAGAGAACTTAGCCCATGAGAACATTAGGTGTCTATTGTTCTATTTTTAAATGAAAACACTGGTTCCGTATCCCTTAGGCAAAATCCCTGTGATCAGATAGGACCCAGATTTAAACATTTCATATACCTTAACCACAGCTTGAAGGTATTTACAGTATTTGTGTGTGTGCAGGTCAGAAGTGGACCATGTTTTTTATGGTCTCTCACTGAACCTGGAGCTGGTGATTCAGCTAAACTGACAGGTAGGCATCCTCCCCTCTATGCCTCCTCAGCACTAGGAAAATAGCACTCCACCTTATCTAGGTTTTATGTGGGTGTTGGGGATCCAACTCAGGTCTCTTTTTGGATAGCAAGTATTTTACCAATGAATCTATTGTCCCTGCTCCTTTATACAGATTTTTAGGCTGCCTGTTTTGACTGCAACTTACCACGTCTCTGCCCTTTGAGCAATGAACTCCAAGAACTAGAATTCCTCCTAGAAATCTCATGCTGGGAAAAGGATGGGTTCCTGGTGTCAGCCTCCCAGGAATATCACAGCATTCTGACTTGCAGGAGACCAAAGCCAAGCAATGACCAGCTGGAATCAGATCTTAACTCAGTTGTCTCAACCTGTGGATCATCACTTATTGGATAGTCTACATATCTGCACTTACTATTCATAAGAGTAGCAAAATTTCACTTATCAAGTAGCAACAAAAATTTTATGGTTAGGGTCACCACATGAGCTATATCAAAGGGTCACAGCATTAGGAGGGTTGAGAACCACTGCTTTAACTAGGTGGTTATATGGATGGTTTTTTTCCTTTCTTTTCATAGCCAAGTATCAGAGCCAGTTTTGCACTTATCAGCCTGGGAGCTAGTTCCTTAGAGGTAGGAATCTGGAACAGTCACTCTTCTCTGGAAGCATTTTCCTGTGAGGCCCTGGATGTCTTGGAACTCAATGTAGACCAAGTGGCCTGAAACTCAGAGAGATCTACCAACCTCTGCCTCCCGGGAGCTAGAACGAAATGTATGCATGACCACACCTCTTGACTGTAAGAATGAGGATGGGCACAAGACCTTTACTTCCTCTCCCCCAATGTGGCCACACCGAGGAAATCTTTTCTACTTTTCACCATTACTTAATTGGCTTATTGAGGACAGGGCAACAACTAGCTTTTCAGGGCTGCCAGGGCCTCAGGCTCTGTTTGTAAAAGCTCAGGTAACAACCATACAAGTGTGAAAAGGTTCACCTGTGCTGTCACAATTTAGAAAGCTTTGGATTTTGAAAAATGTTGGATACAAGAGACTCAGGCAATACTACTTAAAATGCCCAAACTTTTAAGCAGGTTTTCTGCAAACACATGAATACAACACAGCTCAAACCCTCATAGTCTCGTTCATTAGTGTCCACGGCAACATGCCTTCCTCAAAGCACCCAGCTGAGTTAGTCCGCGGAAGGGGACTCGGGTACTTTTTAGGTTACATATGTGGTGGTTTGAATATGCTTGACCCATGGAAAGTGGCACTATTAGGTGTAGCCTTTTTAGAAGAAGCATATCACTATGGAGACGGACCTTTGGAATCTCATATATGCTCACGTCTGGCCAGTGTGATGAGACTCTCCTGGCTGCCTTCATATCATGATGCAGGACTCTTGGCTCCCCCAGCATCATATCTGCCTGCAGGGTGCCATGGTTTCTGTAATGATGATAATGGACTAAACCTCTGAAACTGTAAGCCAGCTCCAATGAAATACTGTTCTTTATAAGAGTTGCCTTGGTCATGGTGTCTCTTCACAGCAACAAAAACTCTAAGACAATATAGTCTGGGTGACCTATGGTGTGAAGTTGGCAAGCTAAGAAGTCTGAGAAAGGGCAGTACTGAATGTGCTTGTCTGGAAGAACAGTGGGGCGTGTTAACCTGTGCTGGACTTTGAATGTCAAATAGGGCTTGAATAGAGAGAAATCAGTGTGTGGAGAGCATGATAAACTCTAACATACTCAAGGAAAGCTCTCTGTGGGGAAAAGCCTTTAGCAGTAAGTTGGCTTAAGTCTACAGGAAGCAAGAAGTCTTTGATTCTTCTGTTTAAATGGCAGTATTTGCTTGAGAAAATTGGCTATCACATTTTGTACATATGTATACTTATGCACAGGAATGCCACAGCATGCATGTGGAGATCAGAGGACAACCTCCAAGAGTAGGTTCTCTCCTCCCACCATGTTGGTCCTAGAGACAGAACTCAGGGTTTCAAGTTTGGAGGCAAGCACCCTATGTGTTAGACCATCTCACAAACCCCAGTATTTACTTTCACAGGATGTTTATCTAATAAAACTTGTAGTCTACCCTGGATACATTTGAACTGGGAAGATGCTAGGATTTCAACAGATCATAAACATCAGGTCTGATTCAATACTGTATCTTTTATTGGAGTCTAACACACCTATATAGTAAAAGTCCTTGGTAGTATCTGCTAAAGACCAAATCATTCCAGGTTCAACTAGTTCAAGTGTCCAGGCAGGAATACTGACTGGAGAGCTGCCTAGG